GAAACTACTGACAAACAGGAGATTGATGTTACTCCTGTCATTCCCCCAGACAGGATAATAGCTACTACTATTTTGTCTATTTCCTCGTCCCTCTTGCAGGCCATACAAGCGAAACAAAGCATGGCACCTAGCGAGAGGCCTAATGATAAACTGTTCGTTGATGTTCCTGAGAGACGGGATATTATGTCATTATATCATGATACTAAGACTGCTGGACATCCTGGTATTTCCAAAACGGTGTCAGCTGTTTCTCGGTATTTTTGGTGGGATTCCTTACGAAAGGATGTCACTGACTATATAAGTGCTTGTACTACTTGTGCCTGTATGAAATCCTCCCGTAGAGTTCCTTGTGGGCTGTTGCATCCGTTACCCGTTCCCGAGAGACCTTGGTCTAACCTGTCCATGGATTTTATTGTTGAATTACCCCCTTCAAATGGTAACACAGTGATCCTGATGATAGTGGATCGGTTCTCCAAAATGGCTCACTTCGTGTCTCTTCGCAAGTTGCCCACATCCAAGGAACTGGCTCATATCTTCGCTAGAGAAGTATTTTGATTACATGGGATTCCCGTATCTATTGTATCCGATAGGGGTAGCCAATTTATTTCCAGGTTCTGGAGGGCCTTTTGTTCAGAAATGGGTATTTCTCTCTCATTTTCTTCCGCTTATCATCCCCAGTCTAATGGGGCTGCTGAACGTGCCAACCAGTCTCTGGAGCAATACCTCCGTTGTTTTGTGTCTCACCATCAGGACAATTGGTCTGACCTGCTTCCTTGGGCTGAATTTGCTCGGAATAACGCCACTCATGATTCTTCCGGCAAGAGCCCTTTTTACGTTGTCTATGGCCAGCATCCCGTTGTTCTTCCGGCTGCATTCTCCTCACAGGGCATGCCAGTTCTGGATGAGCATTTGGCTGGTTTGCGTAATACTTGGGAGCAGGTTCAGCGTTCTTTGGTGGACTCTGCTACTCGCCAGAAGGCTCAGGCTGACAAGCATCGCAGAGCAGCTCCGTCCTATGTTGTGGGGGACAGGGTTTTGCTTTCCACGCGGAATATTCGTCTCCGGGTGCCTTCTATGAAATTGGCTCCCCGCTTCATTGGACCTTATCGTATTATACATAAAGTTAATCCTGTTTCTTATGCCTTAGGCCTGCCTAAGAATCTACGTATTCCTAATGTTTTTCACACCTCTTTGTTGAAACCTTTCGTACGCAACCGCTATACCCGGCGTACTCCTCCTCCCCCTCCTATCTCGGTGGAGGGTCATGAGGAGTTTGAAGTGTCTGTTGTTCTTGACTCTCGTTTCCTTAGGGGTCGACTTCAGTACTTGGTACATTGGAAGGGTTATGGGCCTGAGGAGCACAGTTGGATTTCGGCTGATGCTGTCCATGCTCCCCGTCTTGTGCGCTCTTTCCATTCTCGTTTTCCTGCCAGGCCTGGTCCTACCCGCCCGGGGGGCGTGTCCTCAGGGGGGGGTACTGTAGCGTTACTTACCTTAACCGGGGGCCGGTCGCGGTCCTCTCTTCAAGCCGCGCGCGGTCCTGCGGCTGCACGAGCCGCGCGCGGCTCATCCGACTGCTTTGATGGAAGGCGGGCAGTGACCGCGTGAAGCGGTCACGTGTCCCGCCTGAAACTAAGAGCGCGCCGCGAGTCTCGGGCGCGCTCTTAAAGAGACAGTGGGAGCCTAATTGCCAAAAGGCTCCCATTGGCTCCTGTCATACCACACTCCCTATACAATTACCTATTGGGGGTGTGGAAGTGACAGGAGCCAATCACTTTCGTTTAAAAGCTATTTAAACTTACCTTTTTCCCTTAGCTCGTTGCCCTATCGTGGTTTCTGTTTCAGTTCCCTTTAGCGCTTGTGGTGTTCAGTTGTGTTTTCTCGTATTGACTTTGGCTTCGTATTCTGACTTCGTTTTCGCTTTATCCTTATCTGTACTGTTTGCCGGCTTGCTGTTTTCCGTGTACCAGACCCCGGCTTGTCCTAGTTTACGCTGTCTCTCTGTGCCCTTGACCTCGGTTTGTTCCTGGCTCTGTCTCCTCTCATATAAGTCGAGTCCGGCCATTCTAAGGTCCGGTAGACGTATCTCTCCTCTGTATTTGCCTCTGTTTAGCTGGATCCTGCGTGTAGGGGTATATTCTCGTTACATTAGCCCTATATAAGATCTTTTGATTGTTAGCGTTTTAGGATGCTGTTTACTCTGTACTTTTGTCAATTGATATTTTATTGAAATAGATGGTCCCTGAGGAAGTCCTTTTTGTATAAGGACGAAACGCGTAGGACCAGCATCTCATTTTTATATTGTTTTTATGTTTGATTTGCATACCTTCTTAATTTTTGTAAGTGAATAAATTGCCTTTGAGGTATTCCTGTGGTTGCTGTGTGTGGACCTTTTTGCTGACCTGGATACTCAATTGGCTATCACTTGAGGAAGAGAAATCAATAGGAGTTAACCCCCCTATTTCCATCGAGGGGAGGCACCCATAATACGCTTATCTTTTTGGAATATGTGAGTGCATTTCAAGTTTTATAATATTTAGCAATATTTGCTAAATGTTTTGTTCTCTATTGTAGGTACACTAGCAGTATCCCAAAACATCCTATCAATTATACAGTGAAACTAAAGCTGACCTGACCCTCCAAAAGTATAGGGAAAGGGCAGACACTGGGGTGGGAGGTTCAGACCATGAAACATTTGTGTGGGGTAGATTGTATCAGCACACTGAGAAGAAGGGCGACTGTAGGCGCCAACTAGTCATCCCCCACAAATACAGGAGGGAGATCCTCCGAGTGGGCTACGACATTCCCTTAGCTGGTTACCTGACCGTGACCTGTACCCTTCACTGCATCACCCACACCTTCTTCTGGCCAGGGATGCATGCGGATGTTAGCACATATTGTAATACCTGTGACGTCTGTCAGTGGGTAGGGAGGAGAGGGGATCACCCTAAGGCACACCTGGTGAATATGCCCATTACAGAGGAGCCATTCAGCCGGGTTGCCATCGATTTAGTGGGGCCACTAGCCACTCTTAGTCCATCCGAGAAGAGATATATTCTTACCGTGGTGGACTATTCGACTCGCTACCCTGAAGCAGTGGCCCTATCTAACATCCAAGCAGACACTGTAGCTAATGGGTTAGTTCAGGTGTTCTCCCAGGTAGGATTCCCTAAGGAAATCTTATCTGACAGGGGCACACAGTTTACCGCTGAACTCACGCAGCAGCTATGGCATGTCTGCAAAATAAAGTCGCTACTCAGCTCCCCCTACCACCACCAGACTAATGGGTTCTGTGAGAGGTTCAATGGAACCCTCAAAGAGATGTTGAAAACTTTCACCAAGGAATACAGGGACTGGGAACAATTCCTCCCGCACCTCCTGTTTGCTTATCGGGAGGTTCCCCAGGAAACAACAGGATTCTCTCTGTCACGACACTCCTTAGTTGATTTGCCCTCTTGCAGTACTCACACTCACCACTGTTTCTGTTTGGCACTGTTCCTGATTTCTTTTCATTAAGCACTTCACCTGGTCCTTGTTTAGCACCTATTTAGTTTGGGTTCTCCCCTCACTCCTTGCCAGATCATTGCCTTTTGTTTCTTGTTTACCTGGTCTCCTGTCTTCCTGGCTCCTGCATACTGTGACTTGGTCCTGTGTCCTGTGTCCTCCTGATCCTGAGTTGCTGTGTCCTCCGATCCTGTACTCTGGTTCCGTGGTCTCTGCTTTACTACCAGTGATCCTGTCCCTGCAGCCTTGCTCATTTATTCGACTTCTGGTCTTGCTTCTTGATGTCACTACATTAGTCTTGTGACTCTGGATCTGTGCCCTACCTGATACTTGTGGTAGCTGCACAATCCTGCCCTTATACCAAAAGGACTGTTACAGTATTTGTTGCCTGCACAATTCGTGCTTATTTTGATTTACTGTATATATTTTATGGCCTTGTCTGTGTAAATATATTGTTTTGTTTTCTCCTTTGGTTCCCTGTAAATATATATATTTCTTGATTTATCCTATTCATTTGTGTCTTGGACTTTATTTCTTTGCTATATTGGTTCCCACATTTAAAGTGACAGTGCTGCTCCAGGGCAGCACCCCTTCATGTCATTATAGAATGATCTGGCCACTTGGAACTAGCAGAGAATAATGTCCAGGATCACGATGGATAAAATTGTTGGTATTAACGCTGATTCACAGCAAGAGTATGCTCTCATTAATACTTGTTATGATCAGTTAAAACAAATCCAGCGGCAGATAGAAAAGGCCTCTACCTTATGCTTGTCTACTATAAATGTTTCTTTCCAGGTTCAGAAATCTGTATTATGTGGACTTATCACTGAACTGCAAAGTTATCACAAACAAATATGTGACCCTTTGTTTTCTCAGTTACCTAATTGCAAAAAATGGTTGAGAAAACTCCCTGTGATAAATAGGGTGAATGAACTTCTTTGTGTGTCTCTTAAAGAAACATCACGTAACAAATCTTTATCATTTATGCAGAAACAGTTAAGAGTAATGTACAATAATTACATTGTCTTGTTGCCTGAAATGCATTTTCTTATTGATCTGATACAGGAAAGGATGAGTGTCTTTATGCCTGATAGTGATGTTTATATACCCTTTCTTGATTTACACAGCATCCCTAATCCTCCTGACTCTGACTTGGACAAATGGCTTGTTGATCCTCCCGACTGCAAAACTGAAGTTCCTCGTGAATTTAAAGCTGAATGCTTTCCAGCCCAAACTGAAGACGAAGATGTTGAGGGGTTATATAGCACTGGCGATCCCCTCATGGACCAGGTCTTTGATAAACTGGGTGCTCGTTGCATAGCAGCTTTGGAGGACGAGCAGTCTGAATGTGAAGGTAGTACCAGTACGCAGTTTCCTAATGTTGTCTCAGTACCAGAGACCCATAATACCCTTATACCACCGTCCCTTTTCTGCAAGATCCACTCCCCTATTCCCAGACTGAGAAAACTGACAACCAAGATGAACACTCTCTACACCGTTCAGGAGGGTACAAGTTTGGTCAGAGAGTGTCTCAAGCAAAGTCTGTCCAGCCACGAAGCAGAAACAGACTCACCGGAGACAACAACCAGAGTTACTAATTCCTCCCTCACAGTGCCTATTGAGGAGACCACCAGTAACCTTGACCAGGAGACTGGATTTGATCTGGGAGTCTGCCCCACAAAGGACAGTGCATTTGTTACTGTAAGTGTCTACACAAATACCGACTCTCTAGAAACAGAGGTTCCTATTTCTCCATCTCTTCCCAAGTCATCCTACAAATTTGACTCTGATCAAATAGACATGGTTGAGTCATCTAATGCTGGAGACTCGAAACTGGAAGAGTCACCTATAAAATTCGCTCTGGGCGATGCAAGTTACGACAAGGCTGGACCATTGAATTTGGAAACCAATCTCGTTGAAGGTGTTCCTCCTGTCAAAAGGCCACCAGGTAGGAAACGTGGTAAATTACCTACTTCTTTCAAAATACTGTCTGAGAACGCTGAAAAACCTAAGGTGGAAGCCTCAGCGCAACCATTGGAAGAGGAGGTTATTGTGCCAAAGGCAGCTCACGACTTTGATGTGGAAAGGTTTGATGATTCCTGTAACGGAGCTCCCTGTACTCTGACCGAGTACCCTCCGTTGATGGATGCTCCTAGCGCTTCCTGAGGACTCCAAACACTGCAGCAGACACCACAACCACCGCAGACTCCACAACCGCCGTAGCTTAACTGGAGTCTCGCCGTCTTCCTTCCACCCTGGATCAGCTTCTGTCCTCCAGGACCGTGTGGGGAAGACCTCTCCTCCAGGAGAGCGTAACAGGAACAGCTCTTAAAAGAGCTAAGTGATTAAAAGCTCAGGGGAGTATGCAGAGCATAGCAATCCCCAGTGTGATATAGCAGTTCCCTCCAATAACGAGACAAGGCTACGTATTGAGGGTCAAGAAGATCTGATCTTTAATGGCACACACTCTGCTTTTATGAGATTCTGCCCATGCAAGGGAGACACCCACATAATTAGCAGTATAACCAATCGGAACAATATACATTCGGGGAAATTCCCATCCCTCAGATAATCACATAACATAATTAAAACAGAACAGTAAAAATACAGTTTTTATACATGTACTATAACTTCCAAACTACACATCCAATCTTCATAAAAATTACATATTTTGAATCAATCCATTAAGGGGAGCAACATATTAAAAAATGGCACAAATCAGACAAGGGGTTCAAAAGTTAGCAAAAGTGTCTTTTGGAGCCTGGCTGGCAGCATGGTTTTCTGTCCCAAACCGGTTTTACAGAGGCCTCTATCCTGGACAATGGGGAAAGTAATCCAATTATCCAGGGATACAGGCAGACTCCATTAACCACATGTTAGCAAAAGACACAAAAATACATAACTCCTATTGAACTGAACAGAACCCCCACATTCAACCTATCCCCAGATGGCTTGGATCTGAGCGCTCAATATATCCAAACAGCGCTCAGATCCCACAAATACAGTCAAATCGCCATACACACTAGGTCCATAGTCATGGGGCAGAAGGCTGGCAATTAGGCTTCTCCATAACACAGGGAAGCAGGGCAATTTGTCAAATAAAATAACAGTTACAAATGGCAGTTTGTAACAATTCCAATTTTAACCCTTCCACCTCTGGGGGATCGAAGATTGGCACCTTTCTTACAACCGTAACTATGAAAAATGAGTTGTCACCAAGTAAAGAAGACTGTTATCCTCAAATGGAAGACAAAGAGCCTGACTTGGTGCAACGTGACAAACCCGTGATGGATCAAGCCCAAGAAAAGGATCTAAATGAGACCGGGCTTGTTCAGAACCCACAGTCTGAAGAAGACGCTATAATCCTATGTAAGTCTAATACCGTTCTTCAAGTTACATGCTCTGGTAGAACAATTTCTCTGCTGCATGAGGAAACACTAACTACCACACTTGTACCTGAACCAAGCGTCGAAGATTATTCAAATCAGCCGCTTAACCAAACTCCTAGAAAAGTGAGTGAAACCGAACAAGAAGGTAGCATTCACACATCTGGTACCTGTTCCCATGATGAAGGAAGCTCCTTCTATGACTCATCAGTTGCCATGATGTCTGTCACTCCACCTAAACCTCAGCAAGTATTAAAAGAAGACTTGCCTTCAGTTGAGAGTACTTCTACATCAATTAAAGAACTACCTAAAGCTGAGCTCACAAGTGAAGAAGACAATTATTTAAGTAACCAGGTATCTCTAGCTGTTACAGAATTATATAAATTTGAGAGAGTCGTCCCTGCTTCGGCTGGCCCCATGCTCCGAGATATTGGGGGAGCCGTTCCATTATGCATTTCTGCGGTCTGAGGAGGAGGGTTCGCAGAGTGCTCCTGATCCTGTACTCGTTAATCTAGTGAAATCTCCTCGATTGATTCCAGTGGTACCTACTCAAGATAACGCAGAGACTGTTCTCCCTTCTACAGAGGTTGCATTGCAATCTTTATTCTGAGGATCTTACAAGCCAGAAACCAAGTCAGACCCAGGACTTCTGAGTGGTGCACCTGTTACCAGCAATAGCCCCAGATCTAGTGGGTTGGCACGTTTGTCAGTCACCGGTTATGAGTGTTTCTTATCGTATGTGCCTTTAATTTCTGTTTCTGTGTCTGCCTTTCTAATGTTAAATGTTACTCTAAAGTCCTTGCTTTTGTATGTTTCTTTTCTGCCTTGTTGGTTTCTCCCATGGGATTCTCCACCTCTCATTCCTCCCGAACCTCCTCCTTGTTTTCCTCTACTGGTTGGGTGACCCTGATTTTCTTCTGTCACCCGTGGGGGGTCTTGGGGATTTGGAGCGCCAGGAGTCGCTCCTTAAGGAGGGTACTGTCACGACACTCCTTAGTTGATTTGCCCTCGTGCAGTACTCACACTCACCACTGTTTCTGTTTGGCACTGTTCCTGATTTCTTTTCATTAAGCACTTCACCTGGTCCTTGTTTAGCACCTATTTAGTTTGGGTTCTCCCCTCACTCCTTGCCAGATCATTGCCTTTTGTTTCCTGTTTACCTGGTCTCCTGTGTTCCTGGCTCCTGCATACTGTGACTTGGTCCTGTGTCCTGTGTCCTCCTGATCCTGCGTTGCTGTGTCCTCCGATCCTGTACTCTGGTTCCGTGGTCTCTGCTTTACTACCAGTGATCCTGTCCCTGCAGCCTTGCTCATTTATTCGACTTCTGGTCTTGCTTCTTGATGTCACTACATTAGTCTTGTGGGGGCGTGGCCTGAAGTCCGACAGACATGGACGTGTAAGTCCCGAGCTCCCTGCCACCTAGCTACCATCAGCCACTTACCGACCGCCAGCCTGCCTAAATGGGACGCACAAAAAGGCAAGAGCCCCAACATACCCCCAGGGCAGCTCCACCGGCACCGCCGTCAGGACCGATGGACGGGCTCCTGCAAACCTCGCAGGGACCGAGCCGCGAGGCACACGGCTCCAAGATGGCGCCCGTCTCCCCAGCCTCCTCCTGCTCGGAACCCGACCAGCCTACTCTGGCTGACATAGGAGCTGAAATCAGACGACTGGCAGCCAATATGGTAACCAAAGCCGACCTGCAGTCCCTCACAGCCACCCTCACGGCCTCCCTCACGGCAGCAGTCTCAGCACTGCGCACAGATATGGAGGCACAAGATGGACGCATCCAAATGCTGGAAACACAGGCCCTAGAATCACAACGCCGTGCAACTGCTGCTGACACAGCCTTGACAAGGCAGGGCAACATGCTGCTGGCCCAGCGCAGACAAATAGAGGACCTAGATAACCGGAGCCGCCGCTCAAACATCCGGGTAAGAGGGGTTCCAGAGGGTGAGGGGCAGGAAAATGTAGAAGAGCTACTCACCGTGCTCTTCCTCCAAATCCTGGGACCTGACGCACCACCAAATATACGCTTTGAGCGTGCACATAGGGCACTGAGACCCAGAATCAGAGATGGGGACCCCAGAGACATTATATGCTGCTTACACTCATTCCCCCTTAAAGATCGCATAATGCAACGGGCTAGGGCTCGACCCACGTGGCGTTATCAAGAAACGGAAGTCTCCCTCTATAATGACCTCTCCCCTACCACGTTGGAGGCTAGACGCGCTCTTAGACCTATCACTACAGCACTAAGGGAACGCAATATCCCGTACAAATGGGGCTTCCCATTTAGCATCCAAGTGAGACACCAAAACGAATGGGTCGTGGCGCGCTGGCCGGACGAAATACCACGCTTTCTCCAACGGCTGGACCTCCCGCCCATAGCTATCCCAGACTGGATCCTGGAACCACTGGACCGAGAACCCAGACCACAAAGACAACCAAGGCACTCACGGAGAGGCCCAAGGGAAAACCGCATACACGAAGCACCTTCACACCCATCTAACCCAGAAGAATAGCCAAGCACTGATGGCACCGGGCTCGTCTCTCTGTGACACCTATGATCAGGTTACCTGAAAAGATGTAGACGCAACCGACGCCCCGCGGACAGAACTCATTACCCACAACCCACTGACCCAAGGAGCCAACTCCGCACGATACCTCTGGTGTGCACACACCCAGCGACCCACACAATCTAGATGGGGACTAGGAGGGACATAACAGGCTCTTGACCACAGGAGATGGAACTGTTGGTACCAGTTCTACTAGGCCCCACCGGCCAAGATACTCCCCACTTTATACCCACCTTTCCATAGCCTGTGGCACACGGGGTTGGCACTATCACGAGACTCTCTTGGGAGGGGGGGAAGGCTTGTGATAGCCACATTGGGAACCCAGGGAAGCTGAAGAATCACGAGTCGGATCCCTTGGCTGGTCTTGCCACCGCACCTACAAGGAACCGACAAAAGAATATGATCCAGAACTGGAAACCTGCACTGGCAGAGACACGACACTCTGGAGGACTCGTGCTAACAGGTTCAGGGGGGAGTGATGAACGCTGGGCTGGCCGCATGTTGCGGACCTACGCTGGGTGCAGACAGGGGGGAGGGATTTGTGGGACTGTATTGGGCTGCAGGGGGGGTAGTTTAGAGCTAGCGAGACACTGATTGTTGTATTCTTAGGCCAACAGTTCAAACTGGTGGAATGGGGGAGGATACGGGAGAATGGGAGGGTGGAATTTAGAATCCCTTAGCGTAGGACACCTGATGCAGATAGCTCATGACCACAGCAGATCTAGGCAGGAACCGCTATAC